CCAGGCATGATTAGATCGTTGGCTCGGTAAAAGCCATCCTGTGTAGCTGGTTGGGTCATAGAGGTGCACAAGCCATCACACAACGTCAAGGTGCAGTCTCGTTGTGATGGAGCATCAAGTAAAATGGTGCCTCTGTAATTTTTGCACACTGATTTGTTCCTCTTTTTTGGGAAAGTTAGTAAAATCGATGTGGTCCAGTCAGTTGGGTGAGTTTTAGTTTCCCAGATTGCACACGATAAGCTATGGAGATGGTTCAAAATGGCTGAAGAACACCACATAGATTTCCGCTTCTCGGGATGATTGTTGTTATCTGAGACTTCTTCTATCGATGACGGAGCCCACCTAGCCTCGTGTGGCGATGACCGCAAGAAAGACTCTTACGGAGGTTGGATTACAGGACGATTGAGAAGAAGACTAAAGTGTTCCACCCATCGAGACATTTTCCCTTCCGCATCAGAAGTGAGCTTGCCGGAGGCGGTGCGCAGCACGGACTCGGCGACTTGTTTCTTGCTCAATCGTATGAGTTCGAAGAGGAATGCCGCGTTTCCCAGATTGGCTACTGTTTCCGTTTTTGTCACCATTTCATTCCAGTAGTTGTGTCTGTGGTATCCAACCAATCTTGTTACTCGGGATAATCAAAGGATTGAGCTAGACGCCTTTTTATCACACATAAACACAGTAAAAGTAGTGAACCCCATAATCCAAGGATGTACTACTGTAGATGAGAAATTAAGAGGAGCATTCAAGCTAGAACCAGCTTGTTGATTATGCTTTTAAAGACAGGGATGTTGTAATTTGGAGGGAAAACTGAAAAAGGTAGAGTGTTCCACAGTTGTGCAACACCTGAGGATACTTACTTGAAATGGGTGTATAGCCGCTTGTGTGCGGAATCTTTGAGGAAGAACTAGCGAGACAGAGACAGAAACGACAAGTTCACTTGAGCAAAATCCAAAATAGTATCGATAGAATAAGGAAAATGAGGTGAATGCTCGACTGTAAGTTAGTGACTGCAAGTTACTTATTAGGGACGGGTGGTTGAAAAAACGAATGGCCTTATGTTGAACTCGATCAAGAATAGGTAAAGTGGTAGACGAACCTCCACCCAACGTATGACCAGTATTCAAGTGTAGGGCGAATCTGAGCTTTGTAAAGCGAGATGAGGAGCATAGGGTTGAAGAAGCGTCTGGCACGGAGGAGGGAACCAAAATTGAGCGCAGAGCGGGAAACAGTTAGATAAATATATGGTGACCATAAGAGAGAAAAAGATAAAGGAAGTCCCAATAGGGTGCATGAATCTGTAGCACATAGAATGTCCAGGTTAAAATTTAAGGAACGGAATACGGATGCGTGTTTAAGAGCCTTACAGAGAACAGGGTTGCGGCAATCCCAAGCAGAAATAAGGTCCAGATTAGAATGTACAGAGAAACTGAGGAAGGAGCGGTCATTGCTAATGCTGCAGTTAGCGATGCTTGAAGAGGAATAGGACAAAAAAGAGTGCAGGGTAGCGTCATCCGTATGAATGAGATTTGAAGTTGCTGACTGGTCATCAATACAAGTCCAAAATTTATGATATTCTTCACCAACCCTTAAACTATGCCTGTGAAGCGTATATTGATTTGCCTCATTGTGGCCAGTCAAATTCAGTGTTAGCCAATTCATCTCAACAAATTCGTTGTCAGCAGGTGGTCACTCCTGTCTTGGATTCAAAGATTAATTTCCTGCACTGTCGTTTCAGGAAACTATCTTCTCTAACCTAAGACTCAACATGGGTTATTTGAAGCCATGTTGTGTATGACACCAAACCATCCACTACCGACCATAATAAAGACCATTTTCGGCATCTCAAAAGGAGAAGTTCTTCGCTCAAATTCATCTGGTTAGTGATGGCAAATACTGCAATTCACGGGGATATGAAAACGAAGTAGCAAAAGTAAAAAAGAAAATGCAAATTGCATTGATCTATAATATTACTTTTTCAGTTTTTTACTTTACATTCCTTTCCGTTGGTTTAAACGCGTATCTTATGGTTTCATCGCTAAGTGAGGTAAATGAGAAGTATGTGCCGATCTACAAGGACTTATATCGTCATAACTCAAGCCGGGTAAGAATCTATGGCCAAATTTTTTCAACGGTTGCCCTCTCCAGTGAAGTGCGATAAGACTGCCCTATATCCACATTTCTCTTCAACTTTGCCATAGAGAATGTTCTGCAGAATGCTTTGTCCGGTCTAGCAAACGGTGGACTCGAACTCCTCCCAGGGAACAGATTTCTTGACTTAAAATAAGCCGATGACATTGCCTTGCTGGGTGGCAACACACAGACAGTCCAACCCGCTTTAAACCGTGTGGCGATCGAGTTATTCAAGCACGGTATGTGCTTTGCATCATCCATGTGCAAAGTGCATGTTGAAGACTGACAGGAGACTGTGCCTGCACTCACCCTCTGTGGTGATCAGCTGGACTGGTCGAGAGCTTTAAGTACCTCGGGAACTTAATCAAAGCTGGAACTAGGGTCGGGGAAGAGATCACATCACGAATAGCGAAAGCTAGTGCAACTTTTGCCTACCTGCGACACCTGTGGTGGCGCCATGAAATCCGACTTCACCTTAAGAGAAGGGTGTACATCGCCGCGGTTCTTAGTGTTCTGCTTTACGATTGCGAGACCTGGCCGCTCCGTTTCGAGGATGCTAATAGACCGTCTCTGTTTCACTACCGATGCCTTGGATGCATTGCTCATGTCTGGTGGGAACATCGGGTAAACAATGACGAAATTGTTCGTCGTGTGCTGGTTACTGGTAGTCGTTCTCTAACAAGTAATCGCTCTACGCCGCTTCTGATGGCTTGGTCACGTCTTTTGTGTGCCTACCCATCGTGTGCCTTTCCGTTCTCTCTTCGGCGGTCAGACCATAACCTGGCATAAAGGTATGTAGAA